ACCAAGCGGGCGGGCGTTAGGACCCGCTTCGCAGAGGACCACTAGCCTGGCTTGTTGTATAACTTGTTTTTTCCAAAAGGTGAATAATGCACGTATAAATATACATGTACTAATTTAAAAAGCTTCGATGGGCCTGCACTTTAGAGCTATTATTTATGTGAAAATTAGTAGCAGCGTATTTAACTGGCCTGAATTTTGAAGCAGTTGGTAGCACAGGCGATCATAAGACTCCGTGGCAAAACCTGGTGCTCTCCGCCGCGAATACAGAGAAATCTGGTTATGTAAATACAATTTATTGCTGCGATACTGTCAATTTCGTCGTCCTAATGTAACGTGGACATATACTTAGCTGTTCCAAGCCCGTCTCGGTTCCGTTTTACCGGCCTCCCTCACTGCCGAGCAGATATTTGAGTTTTTATAGCAAAAAAATTTCCTCAACATCAACGAATAGCTGCTCAACGTTGTTGCCGCACCTACACTATTGAGCCCGCCCACTGGAGACGCGCACAGCTCAGAGCTCTCTCATTGGTCCAAAGGGCTACGTGCGTTTCTCAGCGTGGTCACGTTTTTGCAGCGTGCTTTCTCTGTCCTAAATGAGGAGACAGTGTACAGTTAAAATAATAGTGGTAATATTACTGAGTTGTGACGTCTTATGGTAGACTGCACTGTTTCCACACGTTAGTGGGGCTAATGTACCAAAAACATCTAATCTAAAAACGATATTAGACTGAGGTGAACACTGGCATTTGGGGGATTTACTACATTTAAAGCAAATTAATGACAAAAAGGAACCATTAATACGTGTACACATACACTTAAAACACAGGTTGTTGTCACAAAAGTATTAACTTTTAAAATAAAAAACTTTGTGTCATCCTGTAGAGTCCACTGGCTTGTTTACCATAAAAGAACCCGGATAAGCACATGTCATGCGACTCTGGCATGAGTGGACGGTGCTCACGCTTCAACACGTGTCATTGTAATACTGTAGTAGGCTACAGTAGCTTTTCTTGCATAACATTTTCTGATATATTTGCGCCACTTGCAGTTGCGCTGATAAAGATAAAACTCAAAAATGGTTTTGCATGAAGCAGCAGCGTGTATATTAAATGAAGTAGGAGTTATAGGCTATGTATGGGCTATATAGCATACAATATGCTATATAACGGGGCTGGGTTTTTATAAGAGAAAATAATAGCGTAAATTTACGCATCACTTATGTTTGCTATATCTCGTACACATCGAGGCTTCAAGCCTTTCTGTAATACTAGAAATATTAATTCTTTTAAAATCATAATTATATGCGTGTCTGTTTTTATAGCCTTGTAGTCCTATTTTGTGTTCCATCATTTATTACAGTAGTATTATCTACCTTTCCTGACATAACTTATCTGCATATGTGTAAGTGCATGTCTGTAGCAATATCTAAATCATACTATCTTTATAATTTTTTAATTATTATTAGAAGTACCCTAGAAGTAGAAGAATCAGTGGTAGTAATAGGTTAAAACTGTCTGGTTTTCTTTAGGTGTGTATAGTTCTTTAATGTCTAAATAAGAAATGCGTCACAAAATTCTCTTATATAAAGTGACTTGTAATTATGCAAGACATGAAACGCTGCCTTGGGCTGCAGACGTAGTACCATATTTCATCCACTGGGTGGCAGTAAAGCATCAGGCACTAACATATCTGATGATACATGGTAATTAGTTGTTAGTGGAGGCTGTACTTTTTTCTGTTGTCTTTCACTTTACTGTTCAATATTTCCAAAAATTATTATAATTATTGCATCTTTGTTGAGTGCAGTATTATAATATAACAAAAACGTACTCAAAATATTTTAAAAACCATACTTCGGAATTAGGCTACTGAATGTCATTTAAACAGTACATTCACTTAAGAATAGAGGTGAAAAGTAACAAAGTACATTTATTTCTTGAGTATTTTCATTTTCTGCTACTTCTTACTACTTTAACTTCACTACATTTTAGAGAAGAATAGTGTACCTTTTACTCATGACATTTATCATTTTAGTTACTTTTTACTTTACAGAATCAGGTGACTAAAATAGAATACAATAGACTTTATTAATCCCCAGTGGGAAATTCACAAGATACCTGGCAGTATTACCAGTTGCATCATTAAATGTGGTGTATACTGTAATTCATCAATAATTATAGTCCACTGGTGCCATTCGGCTTAAGGAGTACTTTTACTTTTAGTGCTGTAAGTATATATTAATGCTTATACATTTGTACTTTTACTTAACTAACATTTTGAATGCATGGATTTTACTTATAACAAAGTATTTTTACACTGTGGTATTGCTACTTTTACATATAGTAAATAAAGAAGAACAAAATACATAAACTGTTAAAAATGGGAAAATGCTTCACAATATATAGAGGTAACACTGTAACACAAAAGGCAAACCTAACCACATATCATTCAATTAACTGCCAAATAAAAAATGTGACTGTACATACACATGATCATGTGACACATTCATTCTGCTGGCAAAATACAAACAATCATCTTGCTGGGAAATTCGTGATCATTTTGCTGTTACCAGGCAACCAAGGCTAAATAAGAGGACAAGCTTAGGAGGGCCACAGCGCATGTAGAGAAGCAGCTGACAGCTGCCCACCTCTACGCTCTCACCTAGGTTAGTCAGCAAGATCTGCTGCATTGCATCAAGCGCTCTTGGCAGACTGCTGGTGAAACTCGGTTAATGTCAGACTGGAGGACAGGATGTGCTAATGGTGACATCTGCTAACACAGAAACCTAAACAGCTCCTCGTATATAGGAAGAGTTCTTCATGCAAGATGCACTTTCATCATTTAATTAAAGGAAATTAATCTTTTATTTTCTCTATGGAGGTCATGTAAGGATAAATATTCTATCACAGGTTTTCCTCTCAGCATCCCCCTTGTGTTGACGGTTAAATAATTCAATATGCAGTCAATAAAAATTCTCCCAGCCTGGTCCTTCTTATCCAAAAACAATAATGTTTCATAGCATTCAGAGGCCCTGTGAGTTTATTGGCACACTACTTTGCTTTAAAATAGACAGACAAATTAAAGGAAAACCCAACAGTGTCTCAGTAAGATGTTGATCGATGTTGCCACAGCAGCTTCACTGCACCTTGGCACTAACTCTCCAAGTCTCTGAACTTTCCTGGAGGGATGAATACCGTTCTTCCAACAGATGTTCCCTCATGTGGTGTTTTGATGATGGCGGTGGAGACGCTGCCTAACATGTCACTCCAACATCTCCCATAGCTGTTCAACTGGGCTGAGATCTGGTGACTGTGAAGGCCACAGTGTTTGATTCACATTATGTTCATACTCATCAAACCATTCAGTGACCCCTCATGCCATGTGCATGGGAACACTGTTATCCTGGAGGAGACCACTCAGTTATACAGGTTTTTCCTTTAATTTCTCACCCATCTGTATTTCATCTATTCCAATGATGTTTTTGTTTATCATTTATCAAACAAGCAATTTCAGTGAGATACTGGTATGATCTGCTTTGCACTTTCCCCTGTCAACCAGTTCTCAAAGAGAGTGTGTGTCGCACCTTAATTAATCAAAATTCCATTGTAGTAAATTTTTCAGTTGTTGGCATGGGTAGTGCAGTGTCATGCTAAGAAAACATGAAAGGGCCTCTGGCATGGCAGGCATCGTGGACAGATGGTTGGTCCAGCTCAGACATACAGGGAGAAGCCCCAGCAGAACGGATGAATCATCATTCCACCAACTGTTCCTCTCAGCAGTCACTCTTCTTATTTCAACTCACTCACTCTTTGTTTTTATGGCCTGACAAAAATGTTTTGATGTATTTGAGAGAATAGACGGTTCAACAACATCATGATGAAATGGTGCTCTACTCTGGAGCAAGACCGCACATCTGTATCCTCACTGGGTGTTGGAGCCATGTGCTTTGATCAGTAAGATGTATAATCTGGCATTAAAGCTACTTCACTTTCACTTCTCACTTAAAATGATCACTAGTGGTGGACTCCCGATGGACAATGGCCGCGGACTGTGCATTTCATTTTGTCACGTTTGACAGAATGGGTGTTCACTCAGAAACTTTGAATGTTAGCCATATGTTTGGAGTGACAATCAGTATAAAAGGAATTCAGGAATGAAAACATCTTAAAAACAGCACAGTTGCATGGATGAAAATATTTTCATGTACACATGTTTTGTTGTGAAGCACTCTGTGCTCCTTTGGAGTTGTAAAGTGCTATACAAATAAACTATTATTATTATATTTTCATTGATGCTACTTTAAATAGCACAGTAAGTTGCTTCTGCAGCCATGTACAAGCTTCACTGACCCCCTCAGAGCTGCTAAGTAGATATAAATAAAGTGACAGTGGCACAAAACGCAGTTAGAAAAGTTAATTACATTAATAAAAAATGTCTGCGTTCCCTCCCAACCATTTCTGCTCTTTGACAATGGGATATATCATTTCAATTTATGGTAGAATTCAAATGAAAAGGTGTCTTTATGCAGACCCCTTTTGGATACCTCCTCGGATTTTCATTCCATGCGTTGTCTGTCTCAGTGGGGATCTACCTCTCATTCTCACACTGCCATGATCATTTCACTGCAGCTACGCGACTTGGTTGGCACAGCAGACTACGTGTGTACCTGTGATTCTGCAGTTATGTTTCTCGAGCACCAAGTAGCCTTGGCTGGAAGGTAGCAGGGTTGTTGTCTGTGTCAGTCAAAGCTGGTGGAGGTGCGGATTGGCTCGTTTCAACCCGCGGGACTCCAGGCTCCACCTCTCCATCAGAGTCCTGCCTGCTGCGCTTGTTGCAGTGAGCGCGGAGGGTTTGTGCGCTCTCAGATTACGCGAAGTTGTAGACAAGAACAGATCGAAGACATTCAGCCACGTACAGAAGGAGGAAAGCGGGGGATCACTTCTGCCGTTTTTTTTAAAGCTGGGAAATACATTTACGTATTCGGACAGAGGGTGATAAAAAGCACCAAAACGAGTTTGTGGTATTTACCTGAGAGACCAAGCATACCCAACAGTATGCGGTGCAGTTATGGCAGGCAAGGGTAAGACAGTCGCGAGGACACTGGAGGATTTAACGCTTGACTCTGGTTATGGTGGAGCCGCGGACTCGGTCAGGTCGTCCAGCGTGTCGCTGTGCTGCTCCGACACGCATCAGTCCTTCTCGCATGGGGGCAACTGCTGGCATCTGACGGAATCCATGCACAGCAGACACAACAGTTTGGACACAGTCAACACCGTCCTGGCGGAGGAGACGGAGATACTGGAGTGGTCGGGTCAGTGCGCCAAACTGCCCGAGCTGGAGGACGCGCCATGGAGCCTCGGCGAGGTGGAGGGCGCTCTGAGGAAAGACGAGGAGCTGATGGTGGGCAACCCGTCACCGGAGATCCTGGCGCGACTATCGGCTCTCATCAGCCGCGCGCTGGTGAGGGTGGCCCGTGAAGCACAGCGGCTCAGCCTGCGCTATGCCAAGTGCACCAAGCATGAGATCCAGAGCGCCATCAAGGTGGTGCTCTCTTGGACCATCTCGGTCAACTGCATCACGGCGGCTCTCAGCGCCCTGTCCCTCTACAATATGAGCACTGGGGACAAGTTCAGCCGAGGCAAGTCCGCGCGCTGCGCGTTGGTCTTCTCCGTGGGGAAGTTCTTCAGGTGGATGGTGGATAGTCGAGTGGCCCTCAGGATCCATGAACACGCTGCCATATACCTCACCGCCTGTATGGAGAGTCTGTTCAGGGAGGTGTTCAGCCGCGTCCTGCGCAGCGCGCTAGTGGAGAGGGACAACGGGATCCCCAAGTTCACGCTGGAGTCACTGGAGCAAGCCATCAACAGCGACTCGGAGATCTGGGGTCTGCTGCAGCCCTACCAGCACCTCATATGTGGCAAGAATTCAAGTGGTAAGAAATGTAGAAAAGAAAGAGAATTATTAATTAATGACAATTAGTGGTCATTTGTGGAAATGATATTCGCCCAAATATGACACGACACTGCTGTCACCTCGGTGGTCAGGTGCAGGGGGCTTATGTTGTGTGTAGTCAACACTCATTCCACATACAGTGGCCTATACGTCAAATCACATTCAGGTTCCCCTGAAGCAAGCAAAGCACCAATTTGGATGCCCACACGTTAGAAACATCTAGAAACCAGCTGCTTTATCTTTAAACAGGCAGAATAGTGACTCAGCTTGAGCTAGGAAACCACAATGTTCTTTCAGAATCAAACGCAACTATGTATCTCCATTTAAATGTATATTAAATTGTTTTGAAGACAGCAGATTTGACTGAAGAGATAGAGCCACTTCTCACAGTGCACAAAGTAATGATCTCTGTGTAAAAGGGGGAAAGTAATATCACTATAATTATGCTGGGGAATAACCACTGCTTATCTAGCTCGTGTAATTGCACTCCCCAACAAAGGGCTTGACAGTATCTTGAATATTTATTACCCTCAGCTTTTTTAGACCTCCAGGCCCACCTCTGTAACAGGAACTGCCTGTCTTATCAAAGCCTGGAGCAACAACAGTCACAATAAGCGTTTGTCACTGAAAAAGATCCAACAAGCTGCAGCTTCTATTGTGTTGTCTCACTTTAATTAGACACAGGAATGTTAATGCTAATAACTGTTTTTGACAGTGAGATTCAGGGGAGTTGTGTGGTGTGTATAAATGATATGTGTGTCATGATTGTGCAGAAATGGGATTTGTGTTTATATTGCATGCTCGCCTTGTTGATAATGCTGTTGCTGTCTCAGTCCAGAAGGTGTAAGCTGTCAGTGTGTGGGCTGGGCCTCTTATCCAAAGCCCTGAATGAGTTGGCTGAAACTATAAAACAGAAGGGACTTGAAATGCTCTTCTACTGAGAGCCAAAACTGGACCGTGCAATATTGACCAAAAAAATCATATTGCGGCTCTTTTGTTAATTACTGTGGCGTGATTTTGTTTCTTTCTGCACATGAGACAACTTAATAGAGGTGAACAACAAAGACCCTTGGGTTCCCTAGGGTCTGAGTATGAGAGAGGATGTATAATCAATGCAACAACAGCAACATTAAAACAAAATATTCCTCATCACAGTTTCCTACAACCCAGTTTTATGTCTTACTTTATGTCTGACCAATCCTGAAACCCAGAGATACTCAATATATTTAACAAAGAAAGTGAATCCTGAGATTTGAGAATGTGGGATTTTTTTGCCAGTGCTTGAAATGATTGATTAATAATCAAAATAATTGCCATTGATTAATCTACAAACTGTTGCAGCTTTAAAATGAATAACAAACCATTGAACACTCTACCTTCAAACTGTAGATCCACATGTACCTCTTTATTTCACACCAATATTTGTCCTGGGGTTGAAAATGCAACACTAAACTGCTTTGTCTTGAGTCTGCAGCTGAGAAGCAGCTACAGTACTTGTCTGTAGACAGGATGCTCCCCCTTCCACTGCTGCCTCATGGAACACATCATTTTGGTGCAGAGGAGGCTACAATTTGCTCTCACTCAAAACAGCTTGATGCCGTTCTAATACAGTTTGGAAGGCAACAACGGCAGTATTTAAATTACTGGGTTTTTTTTGTGACCCAACACTTTTATCAAATGTTTCATATTGTCAGTTTGGATTTATGACATCACACTTACAGTAGAATGATTACAAATTAAATTGTCCGACTTGTGGGTGAATAATTAACCATGCACAGTCACAAATGAATCCAATTTTTACTCATATAACTGTAATGTCCCCTTGTAGTTTTGATCCTCTGCAAAGAATGGTTTTAGGAACGAGACTATATTTAGTCAGAGGTGGCAGAAAGCAGGGTAGCCCTTCTGGTGAGAAATGTAGTCTCTTGTTCAAAATTATACCTGGGGATTAAAAGCAGCGCAGCACATATGTTGATCTGCACTCCCACTGACCATGTGTGACAGCCTCTTCGCTCTGACTAATGAGCAGAGCTAAATGGGAGTTTTTCTTCACTTCCATTTGTTTTAAGAGATACATTACTGTCCAGCTTGTACATTCTGATTAGTGTTACATGTCTCCAGGAGCAGATCTAGAAACATTTGGACAGCGTGGCCAGAATGGGGCAAGACTCAGAGAGGGGTGGCACATTTGAAATACATGTAAATAGTAAATTAAAGCCTTAAGGCTTTTTTTTTTTTTTTTATTTTGAAGGTATTTTAAACACACCACATATAGTCACACCAAGCATGATGTGAATATGGAATGTGAATTTCTAAAAGGTCACACTACAAAAATATACATCAAACGATGATACCTGCAGGTGCTATTTCTGCTAAATACAGGGAGTGTATCTGATATTGATACAAAGGCAGTTTGGAAAGTTTCACTGCTTGGTGCAGGGGCTGAAACTGTATTGTGGTCATTTTTGGACCTGCATCAGGATGTCTGTGGGACTGTTTGAGTTGTTGCTGCTGCCGCAGCGCTCACAGCCCTTGATCGACACACAAAGACTCCATGTGCATGAATGCAAAGATTGTCAGAGTGATGAGCATTCAAGGCGCTAACTTAAGCATTACATTTTTTTTAGCGTTTTTGTTGTGTTTACTAATCCCAGCACTATTTCCGATACCAGTCGCACCAATATTTTTATAAAATGTCTACAGGCGGAGGAGTAGGTGAAGATGATAAAAGAAAATGAACACAACAAATCTATAAAACTACTTTAATAAGAGCAAAGTCAACTTTGACTTAAAAAGTCAAAGATGGTAGTTACTGTATGAAGGAGAAACAAGCTATATTTATTATATTCCACAAGTCATGAGAGACAGGGAGTGGTATCAGGCCTGAAAGAGACAAAAGGAGGGGCAGATATATTTTCATCAACAACTTCTCTCACTGAGAAGAACATGAAAAATTGGATTCAGCGTTCCATAATGACTAATATGAGCACTTTCTGATCTGGTGCCCTGCCCAGTCAAAAGATCCCCACCCACTCCTAAGCATGAATGTTGGTGGTGTCGCGGTTCTTGTCATCTCAAACTGATGTGCATTTCCCAGTATCAACAGGCGTCACCTCCCCAGAGAAGCAGCTGTGTTATCATGTGTGTTTCCTGGATCCAAGTCTGTACGTGTATCTATGTGACGTCATGCTCAGCTGTGATGTGTGTTAACCGCATACAAAAGCAACAGTAAGCATGGTAAAACAAATTAGAGTATAACTTTTCTGAGATATTGTAAACATGTCACATGAGAATATCTTACAGGTGTATACCTCTTGATATACCCTCTGTTCTCAGTCATGTTAAAACGACAGATCAGAAGCAAGCAGCCTAGCGTTCAGCATCCAAGTCCGCCGGGCATGACGATGCTTAAATTTGGAAACCCAGATGACTTGATTGTGTCTGATTATGTCTGTCATTTTCCGTGACCTTCCCGAAGGACCTCTGCAGAACTGATCACACAAAATAACAGGACTGCATAGCCTGCCATAGTCAGTTTATTAGATCAGCAGCAGGGGTGTCTGTTCTTCCCCTCCTTCATTCTTTGTCTTTCACACCATATTTTATTGTGTTTTCTGCTAGGGGGCGGGCTCAGTGTTTGCATATTTGTTTTCCACAGTGGTTATTAATAAGCTCAGCTCATAACCACAGTCTTCTGGCAAAGCCTTTTGTTGTCCGCTCTGTTATTATTTTCCGCCTGTCCTTTCACTCCTTGGAGTGGACTCGCAGATGAGCTGACAGATTGCTGTCATTCTGGTGGAGATGCAAGCAACCAGGCAGGCAAGCTGGTTGTGATGGATTTTTATATCATGGTAATTTCATCAGACCAAAAGAGAGCACCCACACCCCTCTACGCCTTCAGCAGTGATCAGTGATTGAGAAGTTATTTGAAGTTGTTCTCGGGGCCGGAAGAGTTTTATGAGATGCATCCGTTTCTAGTTTTCCCTCTGTGCTACTGGCTTGTGAAAAAGTTTACTTTCATTTCATATCTTTCCCTGTGATTTCACTGGTAGAGAATCCACAAACACCTTTAACTCTGCTTTGGGCATCAAATAAGAATGTTGTGGTTTTTATTACTTCCATGTCATTGGAGCATAGATAGGCTTACATTTTCAGAAACTAGGTGAAAGCACTGGGTCACAATGAGACAATGAGAGGAGTATGAGAGCACCGAATGCTTAATGTTGTGAGGGAGTCAGGTGCAGCGGGAGAAAGCAGGCTGGAGAGTCAGCTAGCGGAGGTGGAGGTGGTGAGGGGGCACTGGCGCTGGTCCCTCAGAGATATTATTACCATGCAGTGCTCTTTAATTAACACTCGCGCTTATCTGGTAGTCATTAAGATTAGGAATTAGCAACGGAAAACACCAGGGAGCTGGAGAGAACAAAGATGATAATTCCTCTTATTCATGTTTAATACCCTTTACTCAAGTTCATGTTGGCATGTTTCATCTGATCGGTCTGTGTGGCCAAGATAAACTGGAGCAGGTCTTCCAGACATTCAGACCTGTGGGCTTTGTTTGCCATGGTTTCTTATTGAACCGTGAGACAAAGCAGCTTGTTACTTTACTTGTCCTTGATGTCAGTACGTCTCTACACCCTCATCATAAATGCATGCTTGGCTGAAAACTGCTGGAAATACTTCTCTTCCTGCAAGACTACATGCCATCATGTCAGCATTTGTTATGTTGGCTGGCATACACTGCAGCTGATAACATAAGCATTTCCTTTATAGATCTTCTAAAAAGGGAAACGGTATGTCAGTTTTAATTATAGCCCAAGCGACACTGGACTGTCAGTCAATACTGATGTTGCTATTTGAGAATTTTAAAGGTCTGATAGCAATTCATTTTCTGCTTTTAATTTTTTTAACACAAACCTTTTTAAATAAAGAAATTTGGTTAGTAATGAATTATGAAAAATCATTGCAAGGTTCATGCTCTTA